TTAAAATTAAAAAAATAATTAATGACTATAAAAATATTAAAATAATTAATAATTTACACAAATAAAAATTAATGAAATAATTTAAAGTTACTAGTTAATAAAAATAATTTATAGTTAATAAATAACACAAGTAAAATTAATAAAAAATAATTAATGTTTAGTACAAATATTAAGATAATTAATAATTAATAATTAGTAAAAATAATTTATAATTAATAATAACAATTATTATTATAATTAATATTCAACTATTGCCACTGCAACTTGCAGCGACGGTGGTGAGAAGACAGGGGAGAGAGAGAGAGAGAGAGAAAGAAGAAGTAAAAGGAGATAAACTATGGCCATGAAAACCTACTTGGAGCTTGGATTCACGAGCAGTGTTCTTCCTTCCCATCCCTGAGAGTGAAAACACGAATAGCCTAGGTTTTTTGGGTTGGGGTTAAAGCATGTCATTTCAAAAAGAGTTGAAGGGTAATTTTGACCATGCACCGACTCTGAAACATGTATGATCGCATTAAGAGCTGGCCCGCGCGCTATCATTTTCAGATCTGAAAACAAAATTTAGATCAGTTTTAAGAGGAAACACCAAACGGGTCTAAAGTCTAATAGGCAACGCTTTCAGACCTCAGATGTTCGAAAAGTGCGATAAAACGCCACCTTAAATAAACTGGTTAAACTTCAATGCATGGTGATCCCATTGGCTTCCCATAGTTCCTCTCACATGAACCCCATAGGATATCCCATCTCTGCATTGGAAACATTCCCCCCATGGCAAGTGTTGAAATAGTTTATTTTATTTCTTATCTATTAATTTTGTCTTGTTAGGGTCTGTTTGGTTGGTTAAAGCCGTTTTTATTTTTCTATTATTGTACTTCACTTATAGTAGGGGCACAAGGGTCTTTTCCCTTTTTATTTTAGTCGCCCTACATATACTAATAGAAGCTGATGCCACCAACACTGTTCCATTGTCTCCAATCTTCTTTTCTCTTCTCTTCTCTTCTCTTCTCTTCTCTTCTCCTCTTCTCTTCTCTCTTATTTTCAATTGTCTTTATTGCCAAGATGGTATCAGAGCAAGGTTATTGAATCTGGGAGATCAGGTTTCTTCTTCAAGTTGCTGAATCTAGGTGGAATAGAGGATTGAATTTGGGTTGATCAAATCTGATCTGCGACAATAAAGCTGCAATCAACATTGCAGCTAATACAGTCTTCCATGATAGGATGAAATACTTTGAAGTGGACAAGCATTTTATTAGAGAAAAATTTGCGAATGGAGAAGTGTGTACTCCATATGTCAACTTAGAAGAACAACTTGCAGACATCTTCACCAAGGGTCTTCATCATGTGCAGCATAATGATTTGTGTGACAAGTTGGGCATGCTTGACATCTATACTCCAACTTGAGGGAGAGTGTTGAAATAGTTTATTTTATTTCTTGTCTATTAATTTTGTCTTGTTAGGGTCTGTTTGGTTGGTTAAAGCCTTTTTTATTTTTCTGTTATTGTACTTCACTTATAGCAGGGGCATAAAGGTCTTTTCCCTTTTTATTTTAGTCGCCCTATATATACTAATAGAAGCTGGCACCACTAGCACTGTTCCATTGCCTCCAATCTTTCTTCTTCTTCTTCTTCTCTTCTCTCTTACTTTCAATCGGCTTTATTGCCAAGAACAAGTATGGGAGAAGTTCCTAATGCATGCTGAGATGTATAATGTGTTGTGGGGCATGCATGTATGGGGTGCCTCTGTGGGGAGCCAATCTGGACTCCAATGCATGGCACTACTGGTAGGGCCTAGGTTCATCCCTGCCCCTATTTTTAATTTATTTTATTGTACCTGAAAAAGCAATAACAAGTTGGTTTTGTTTAAAAAAACAATTAATGTTTTTAAAATTAACATGATAGTTTGTAAAAAAAACAAATGTTGCAGTACATATATTGTATGACTTATGAATGTTGATAAGATATATTGTATGATTTAAAACAAAAAAAATATTTTTCAAACTAGAAACTCAAGAAGCCCTTTTTTGTTTCAGTTTTAGAAACAAAAAATACATTTACATATTCAAGAAAACCTTGTATTTAGTATTATTTAGTATGTATTTACACTCTACATATTTGCATTTATACTCTTTCCAAAAATCAAAACATATTTAAAAAAAAACATTTATTTTCAAAGCAGATGATTTTAATTTCTAGCTCACAATAAGAAAGACACCCCCTTAAATGCTCTATTTTCATGGGTTTGGATATAGGAAGGGAATGCTGCCTGCTGCCAAGTGCTCTATATTCATGGGCGACAATCACTGAATCAAGCAATGTTTTACAGTCACATTATCTTTTGGCAATGTTATGATCAGACCTTGACTGGCCCGCACCAGTTAAACTACCAGCCTCTGTCGTAAACGAGTCAATACTCTGAAAACCTGATGGTCCAATTGCATCAACCAACAAGAATTACATGCCCACGTTCTGTTTGTCATTTTGTCTTCTTGGTTTTTTATACTTCGCCACGATTTTGAAGATTCATGCCTTTAATGGAGGACGGATTTTTTTTGGCTAATGAAAATGGAACAGTACTCTCTACTCTGATACAGTCTACGATTCTTATTAAAGGCGTCTAACCCAACAAAAGTACTGCCCAAAATTAAGGCTTGATTTTTCATTGCATGTCAAGAATCGATCGAGGTGGAGATTCCTTTTATAATAGTTAGGCATACTTGGCATCAATAATGCATACATTTGAAGGGATCAATTATGTAATGAAGCATGCCAAATCTTGGTTAGCCTTACAAAGGGTTTCCTCCAAAGTTTTTTATGTGAAGACTGTGACACATTCATGCACATTCGCCTGATCCGGAGCCAGGAGAGGCCAACCCACATGGCCCATGTTGGCCCATGTTGTACTTGTGTTGCTCATTCAAAGACAGCTCCACCTGATGACTCTTAAAATCAATAAGGCCCATGGTTTTGAAAACCGAACCGGATGGGGCGGTTGGACTGGTAGACCTGAGAACCAGTCAGCAGGCAATCGGTTCTGTTTCACTCTAAAATTATTTTTGGCCAAAAACTGTTGGTTTGGTCAACGAATTGCTGATTTGGCTGATCGAACCATTGACTTGGATAATGATTTTTGGTAATTTTTTATTTTTTAAAATCAAAATAAACCATCTGTTCGAACCAGACAATCAGATCGTTTGACCCAGAAACCCGTCTTCAACACGGTTCCATGCTTGGTCTGTTTTTAAAACCTTGATATGGCCAATGGTCTGTTGAGACTACAGAGTAGAAGGTTAGGTCATCCAATCTGGTCAATCTTCTTTCCTCTGGATGAGAACCATTTGAAGTTTTAGTTTTACTTAGTCAAGGCTAATTATCAAGCAATTCCTGACCCAACCCATCAAACAGCCCATCTTGGGTTATTGAATATGAGCAGTGGTGGAATATTATCTTCATCCAAAGCGAGCTGCTGGTCATAATATCTTTTCAGTTTCTATGTTGTTCGGAATTCCATCTCCATTTGAATCCGACCTTACCTACCCAATTGCCAGCTAAAGGACATGGCAGGGAGGTCCATGCAGGGAACTGAGGGAAGAGATGATGGCGACACAACCAACACCTGTGGTCCTAGCTAGTGTTAGTGTCTCCTAATCGTTAGGGGACCGGGCTTGACTGGGGTAGGGATCTGCTACCAATACTATCCTAACAAGCCACCACAGCCACACATTGAGAACATCTCCTTGTCATTGATGATGAAATCTTTCTGATGTACGACCGCGATGACTGTTTGGGACGTTGTTGGCACCTTGTCTTGGTAGCTGATCCAAATTCACTGATCAACCCCTTCCATGCATGAGATCTAGCTAAATGTATCTTTGCCATTTGGCCGCCTACTGCCTACCGGGAATCTCCCGTTGATAGATTGAACCATGTGCCACCGGCCCAAGAACACGTGAACCACATATAATAGTGACTACTTGCAAACAATACATGCAACATGGAAAGCCCACCCAAATCTCCTTTTTGGTCCTTTTTTTCTAGTACATGGCCATTGAAATTAAAATGTTTTGTCACATACTACTAAGGTCTTATTTGGTTCGCGTGAATAGGAGTTTGGAATCAAAATCAGATTCCAACTGTTTGGTTGGGTGGATTCAAAATCCTATTACCATTCCTGGTGGAACGGCATTCCCTCATCCCTCTCTCTTCCTTGGGAGTGAAATCTCATTCCAGAAGATTTCAATTTCCATTTCAATTTCTGTCTGAACCAAACAGACTATGGGAATAGACCATTCTAATTCCAATTCTGAAGGATTTCAATTAGATTTTGATTCCTGTTCTGACTATTAGCCAAACAGATCCTAACATACCCACTACTAAATTGAATTAGGATCTGCTCTCATAAAGCGCGCCTTACACCGTCTCATAGCCACATCCCACCTTGTAAGAGCAGATCCGGACTCTACTAAATCATGGCTTTTCTTGGTTGAAATATCCATCTTATATGAAACCGTGACAGGGCCGGGCCGGGCTGATAAAAGGCTTGGGGAATTAATTGTATGGAAGGGTAGGCCCATAAACCATAATGAGGCTGGTCATGAAGACCCATGATTTTCATGTGAATAAGTAGACCTTGCGCAGATGATCGCACCATTTGATTCAATGAAACACCAATTAACAGGGGTCAGCGATGAAGATAAATCCAAAACATCACGTGAACTGCTTTTTTATTTTTAAATTTCAATCACTGGTGTGTCTTTGTTTCTTTGGGGGGTTGCAATGAGCAGATTTGAACTCCTCCATGGGTGCACTTTTGAACCAAGTTCTGAACGTTGCACCATATATGGTTTAAAATATTAAATAAACAGTTAGACAATTCATCTCTCTCTCCCTCTCTCTCAAAGTAAACAGATATACAAAGAAGAAAAATATTAAGCTCATGTTATTTTGGTAGCTTCCATATAATATAACTGTTATGGGTACAATGAGAACTGAAGCTCAGGGTTATTTATTATGTACTCAATTATCAAAATAGTGTAAGAGTTATAGAATATACTATGTACAAGATCGAACCTAACCCTAAAAAGATGCAGCATTTTCAGTAATGCTGTCCAGCCTCTATTCTCTTTCTATATCTAAAGCTAGTAGCCTTTTTGGGAGGTTGTTACCATTCAGTTGTGAATAGGAGGTTTTCTCCTTATAGGAGAATAGTCCATCCCCGCTATGTCTATGATGTCGGGATAGTGCTTGGGGCTAGCCTCCCGGCGTTCCGAAACCGGCGGCGACGATTCAACGGAGAAGTTCTCTTCGTTGCCACCAAACCCTTGGTCGCCCTTTTGGCGCTTCGACGTGGGTTTCCCTCCATTCTTCTTGACACTCTGTAGATAGAGCATATATACAATCACATAACAAGAAAGAGAAAGAAAAGAAGAGAAGGGTTCTTTATTTAATCCCTGTTATTACTATATATAGAAACTGATCAACTTTGATTTCTTTTGCTAGCTTTAACGACGCACAAACCTTTGAAGTAGTAGTTGTGGTAGAAGTAGAGATTGTGTTGGTCATAAGATTTCTACTCCTTCCTGCAGCAATAGATAGAGAGCTACTTAAGATTTGACTGAAGCCTGGAAAAAAAAGAACTTTTGCGTGTAATTAAGTTCTCTTTGTATGTTGGTTGATAGAAGCTTCATCAGATGAACAGCTCATTTATACATGTAGTAACAAGGGAGAAGCTCTGTGACAAAATTGCTTTGTGAATTGAAGTACATTATCATGGGTTTATTATCATCAGGTTTGAGTCAGTCCTAAATGTCATCAAAACTAGGGCTAGAAAGGAAACATTAGAGAGATTCAATGGTGCCTGGGGTTGTGACTCCTAGGCCCACAGTAATCTTCATGAATGGTCGGTAGCCTGTGGTGTGCTTCCTTGGCTACCCTAGAATGCCTTCTCTTCATGGTACCTGATGAACAATGCCCGTCTCTGCACGGAACAACCTCGCCAAGAACACCAGCATTTGCTTCAATCATACTGTTTTCCTTCTCCTGGAATCATACCAAACAGTTCACAACTAAAATCAGAGCTTGAACAGAGAAATACAAATCAGAAAAGCACTTCCAAACTTCATTTGAACCCATTAAAACCTTAAAAATCTAATACCCACCTCACTTTTCTGATGAAGAGATGATTTTAACCCTTGTTCCAAACGAATTCCTTTAAACAAAAAACAAAAACACAAACCCAATGAGTTGCCAGGTTCAAACAGCAGCCATAGTTTCCATGTTCATGTGTTGAAATAAATACATACCTTGAGTCCCAACAAGGAGCACCAATAGAAGAGAGATTAGTAAAGCACAATAAGCAGGCTTCATTTCAGGAAAGTTCGTGATAAGAAGTGGAGATAGAACAAGAGATTAGAATGGGAGAGTAGAGGAGAGGAGAGAAAGTTTAGAATTCCAAAACTAAGAAACAGAAGTTGGATCCAGTTTTCTTTCTTTTATTCCTTCATTCCAAGAGCTTTGAAATGTGCGAGGGACTCTGTGAATGGCGGATAACATGGTGAATTCTCAACTTCAATACCTATATATATACGCCCTTAACAAGTTGCGACACACTTCTGTTTATCGAAGGGTGAGACAAAAAAATAAAATAATGATAAATAAATAATGGCTCCTTTTTTCCATCAAAAATAAATAATAATGTAATAATAAATACAGAAAAGGGAGAGATATGAAATGACAAGTATGAAAAAGTACAATAAATTTTCCATATTTCCTTAACTACCCCACTCTTTTAAGGGTTGATGTCCCACTTTTAAGGGAATGGGCACCCGCTTTAGGCCTCTCAAGTCACCACATTGGTCCCCTAAAAGGCATTTTACACCTCAACCACTTTGTCTCTTCTTCATTCTAATCGGCCCAATGGGCCCACTAATTGAACGGGTATGATCAAATGTATTTAGCCCATCAATCAAATCAGTTTCCAAATCTCTAGGAACAAGGACTTTTTGGTAATTATAGTTCTCTTTTGTCCCCAGCCACAAATCTAGATCTTTATCTGTTTATTATTAGAATAAAATAAATAATAAATAAATAAAAATTAATGGGATATATATTGCAGGCAAGTCAGCAACAGTTGAGTATTTAAGGAAAAGAATGAATGAATTAAGCGACGTCAGCAGGCAGTGAAGACAGGAGAAGGCCGCTGCCCACGTGTCGTTAGGACATGTGGAGTAACTTTGACGGCGACAGACAGCGTTGAAACTCCCCATCCACGATCCCTGACGGGTCGACTTATTGCCGTTAGCTGACGTCGGCAGTTTTGTCTCTAGTTGCCTTCTGAAGCGGCCAATCCATGCGGACGTCGATATCTCGTCTCTGCAACGCGTGACGTGGCACGAAAAGCTCCACGTGGACACTGTGACTCCAGTCACTCCACGCGCTCTGTCTGAACTTTGTTCAGCAGGAAGACATCTTAATGGAGACTTGTGTCGCGGCACATTAAAGCCTTTCTCTCAAATCTAACAGCGACAGCTCTTCTCGGATGTGAGCCTTTTATAGCCGCTCGATCTCCCCCACGTCTCGGCTTTTGTGATCCCATGTCTGACGATGCATCGGGATACCATGTGCTAGCATGCTTGTACATCCCATCAATTGATCGGGTCTATCCGATTGAACCGAATCGATCGAATCAATTATGTCGGTTCAGATTAATTTTGTTTGTCTCGATTAATAATTGGGTCAGGACCCATTATTACTGTTCCAAATAAAATAAGACCCGAACCGGTTATATTAATGATATATAACGGCTTCCTGATTTGGAATTTAAAATATTTATTTTATCGACATATAAACGGTTATTATTTACTATCATTTTTATTTAGGTTACATAATAAAAAATGGAATTCCAAGTTATTATAGAATGAGTATAAGATCGTGTCAGACACGATTGTCCCCACTAATAATCGATTCGAATTGGTCTATTTTATAGAAGTGATTAATAATTGGTCGGATCTGCTCTGGATCCAACCCATTTACGGTTCTAAGATCACATGACTATCCAATAGCTAAAAATTAGATGGATTGAAGTCGAGCCATTCAACCGTAGGTAGAGGGTGGTTGGTCATTTTGAGTTAAACCCGATCTACTGGAATTTTAGGTTCATAACAGACAAATTGACTAGTTTCATATTGGTGCTGTCCGAACCGATGTGGACGTATGACAGATAAAGTTTTGCCAATATGGATGAGTTGAGATGGAAGGACGATATGGTGCACTGAGCAAAATTTGCAACCAAAGTACGGACAGATTTAAGGAAAAAGTTTCCGGGGAAAGCACTCCAACGCCCAAATCAATAAGAGGTGGGAAAAAGATCAGCCGAGCCAAACAGTTAAAAGAGAACTAATCCGAACCGAATAGGATTGAGGAAGTAGGAGAACAAGAAGGCTAGAGAGCGGAAGAGCCTAGAAAGAGTGTACTTTGATGGGTTCATAATAGACAAATTGACTAGCTTGATACTTTCACGTGTACAGCCAATCGGTTTGATGGGTTCATCCAATTTTGGTCCAACCTGCAGCTAACCTATTAGAGAACACTACAAAAGAATTTAATCCTTGCTTACAGCAATATACTTATTTGTTATATATAGTCGGGGCGAGCTGGTCCAGTGCGGTAGGACCGCTTTCTGTGTACGCAAGCAAGCAGAAGAGCTGACCTAACCAAGATACGGCGCCCCGACCCGGAGTATGGGTCACAATGCTCTCTCCCTGTCACATTGTTTGTACAAACGTCAAAAACATTTAATTTCAAAACAAAATATCGACCGACACAGCGACATCTCATGCTTTAAGAGAAGAACATAGAGCCAAAAGTCCAAACCAACTTTTCAAATTTCTTGCAGGTTGCATGGTCAAATTAGTTGTGTATGAGTAGGTCTCTGAAGAACATTGAAAGTGAAAGAGAAAACCACTCAAAAATCTTTAACGAATTCCCAAGTTGAAACTTCAAAAGTTCAAAGTCCCAATGATTTGAATTCACTTTGTGAAATAGTTGAAAATGAGAGAGAGAGAGAGAACTGTAAAGAAGTCTTTATATGAAGGTTGGGATGCAGTTTCAAATCTTAAAATATAGGCAGTGGCATGCAGTTAATCACTCTTGATTTTGAATTCTTATACGTGTCGGGTTTTGATGAGATGGGTTTGTTAGACTTAAAAATAATCCATTTAATATTGATGGTTAATAAGTGATCATGGACCACATTAGGGTTGACAAAATGCTGTTAAATTAATACTTATTTATTAAATAATGCCGGTTAATTGTACATATAAAATACTTCCCACCGTTGTTTGGTGTAGTGATAAACTGGTAATATCTGAGACTGGCAAGTGTGAGAATGCATATTCTAGTTTGAGAGTGACTATTTTGTTATGTAATTAGGACAATACCCACTCCACCTCATCCAAGATTCTAGATAATTGAGACCAACTTCCCTTAATTGTCTTCGGCTAAGTTTGAAAATGCTTAAACAATAAGCACTTATTTTGGGCTGGGACCACACCAATAACCATTTATTTGTATTTAGGAAATAAGTCTAAAATATGTGCTTATTCTAAGAAGCTCAAATTTTGGATTGATTTTTAAGTTCTTATTTTTTTTATGGCCTATCTTAACCTGCCACGTAATTTAAAAAAAGTACATATGCTTCCCCTGTTTAAAATATGTGATTTTTTTTATTAAATTCTCATAAACACTTAATAAATACTTGTTTTTAAGCACTTATTTTTCAAATAAGCACTCTCAAACTTAACATTAATCATTCAAAAGAGTAGTTTAAGATCTAGATGATTTAGGATTATATTAAGCATTTAGTCAAGCAACCTGAACTAATTTGGAAAAAGAACAGATATGCCAAATTCTGAAAGACAGACATCTGTGTGTAAGAACTGTTGTATCAAGAGCCACTCCAGCTCATCTAGATGCCTGAAAGGCTGAAACTATATCAAAGAAACTTCCTGATAGAGGTGGCAATTGGGCGGGTTGGGTTGAGTTTCAATTCAAACCATCTAACCCGTCAATCCATTAATGACCCATTAAGATTAAATTAAATGGGTCAGCTTCAACCCAAACCCGTTTGGCCTAACACAACCCGTTCGACCCGTTAATATATAATTCATTAAATGATACATATAAATTATAAAAAAAGTGTTAACATAAATTGAAGAAAAGTACAGAGATTATAGAAAAGAAAAAGAAAATATAACAGAAATTATATGAAAGTATTAAAAATTATAGAAAAAATAGAGATCGGCTTCAGTCAGAGCAAGGCCCATTCGAATAGTGTTTGAACAGCCTTTACAACCTTTCATTGGGAATATCTCCGTACTTCTGTGCTTTATTTCATGGGGAGATATTCCCAATGCAAGGCATTGATGGTTGTTCGAATGGACTTTGCTCTGACTAAATCCGATCTCGAAAAAATAATAGAATTTGCAAAAAAAAAAGCATTGCAAAAATCATATATAAAGTTAAAACATAGAAATGAACAGAAATTTCAAAAAAAAAAGAAACCACAAATCACACAAAAATAATAAAGTTGTAAAATAATATAACAAAAATTATAGAAAAATATAAAAATGAAGAAAACAGAAATTATAGAAAAAATAACAAAAACCTACACAAAACAAAGGAAATGAATCTACAGAAACCAGATTTATAGAGGAGGTGAAGGGGCGGCTCTAGTAATTGAATATTTCATCGCAATAGTGAATGACGTTGGAGTGGGGAATCATGTGATCATCATTTCCAATGCAAACAATGACAACACCCGACTCAAACCCTTGAGTTCATCTCTGCCCTCTGATTTTTTCGGCTTATTGATCATCGAGATGAACAAATGAATAAGAAAAAAATAAGGCATTACTGCTTTGAGAGAGCCATTGATGTTGTCTCGTTGACCCATTTGATCACCACTTACAAATCATGGGAGAAAAGAAATGATCAATGCATTTCTTCTCTTGGAATCTCTGACATATAGAAGTTTGAAGCACCGGAGGGGAATAGCTTGAAGCAAAGGACAGATTAATTGATTAAACTAGAGAGAACTCAGAACTCCTTTGTTGTGGCTTCTCCTCTGTTGCGGATCCCATTATAGCTAGGAGCCCCTTCTCTTTGCAATGTCCTTTGTTCTCCTCTCCTACCAATATCATTATCTTCATTTTCATTTACCATGGTATCATGGATTTGGTCATTTTCATGAACATCAATGACGATACAGGTTTCAGACTGGTTTTGATTTGTTGTTTTTTGAGCTTATAAACAGTAGTGTTTGCAAAGAAAACCCTAAAAATATTTTTTTGTCTACTGGAGAAGACGAACGTGGAGAGAAGAGAGTGTGCCTATCGAAATTTCAAAAGACTAAAAGGGTTATCCGTTGGATATCCATAACCCAACCCACTCATACCATTAAGTCTCTCCCTAGTTGGATTACCCAACCCACCAGACCCGAAACTAAATGGATACAACCCAATCC